CAGAATAAATCTTTATAAAACAACTTACTGTAGTTAAATCTATCTTTTTATTTATACTTTGCATATATAGAAGCATGAAGTCTGATGAAATTACATTTAATTAATTAAATTATTAATGAGATCCCTGAGGCTGATGCTGCAAAACTAAATACTGGATATCTGGCTCAATTTTTGTAAGGAACAAACGAAGGTCTCCTCTTTCGGAAATATTCAGGTGGTTTCTTTCTTTGGTCATAATATGATTAACAGCACTAAAGCCTGATTCCACAAGATATGAGGTAGGGAAAGGTATCAATAAACTGAATATCATTTTCCACATATTTGGATATAAGTCAGGCATTTTTTTATTTTTTTTATTTTTTTATTTTGCCATAGGTTTTCATATCCACCACTATCGAATTTATGTTTACTTTCTTCATCATATCTAATTTCTAACAGTTCTTGGCAAGTTGTATCAGCCCCTTCAATATTTGCGGTAAAAGGATTTTTCATCCAGTCATACACCTTCAATTTCAAAATATATTCAAATCGTTTTTCCATGTCCAATTTAAGTTCATTGAGGTGGCTACTGAACCTGTCAATATCTTCTGGAGTTACATCATCTTTTATAGATGATAATTCAGGAAACTGATGAAATTCTCTCTTCAATAGATTATAACGAAGTAGTTCAAGTTTGTCAATAAATAATGACACAATACTTTAGCAACCTATAAGAGTTTTATTAACTCCTTGAAGCTGCAAATTGACATCATTAAATCTCATGAAAATATCTGCCAAATAAAAGGCATCATTCTTTACTGTTTTTAACTGTTGACACAGATTGGTCTCATTATGACTTTCAAAAAATTGTATGACACTATCATATAATGCTACAAAACAAGCCTTTGACAGCCACCGAACTTCTGTGTGCAAAAGTAACGTAATAAAATCTTCATTATTGTCCTGGCAAAGCTGTTGAAACATTCTATTATTTTTTGCATTGGATTTGATCTTGTTTATGGCTCGAATTATTATAATTAATGATGAATGGAGACTTGTACTTAGATGTTTTCCTACAAGAAGTTGTCTGTGCACCACACAATGAATACATAAAAGATTTGGCACTTCTTCCTTCAAATAAGCAACAAATCCACGATAGTGATCTACCATTGATGGTGCTCCATCAGTAGCGCATGCAACAATATTATTCAAAGTAATATTTTTATGGCTCGAATTATTATAATTAATGATGAATGGAGACTTGTACTTAGATGTTTTCCTACAAGAAGTTGTCTGTGCACCACACAATGAATACATAAAAGATTTGGCACTTCTTCCTTCAAATAAGCAACAAATCCACGATAGTGACCTACCATTGATGGTGCTCCATCAGTAGCGCATGCAACAATATTATTCAAAGTAATATTTTTTGTAAAGTATGATTTCACAGTATTAAATATAGATAATCCTCTTGTATCTGTAATGAGATTTATTGCGAATAGCCTTTCTTCTCATAATGTATTGTTTTCATCAAAATAACGTACATATGCCATCAATTAAGCATTATTATCTGCAATGGTAGACTCGTCCAATTGCATGGAAAATGAAGAGTTTTGGAGAATACTTATAAGTTTTTTTTCAACATTAACTGCCATTTCTTCAATTCGTTGCTTTACTGTGCTATCGCTTAGGGGCAACGTTTTTAAAATCTCAAGTATATCCTGATGCATTACTGTTAAGATAAATTCTTTTATAGAGGGTATTATTACAGTTTCTCCAATATTATAGCTTTTACCACTTTTTGCAATTAATCGTGAAATGCGATAAGCGGCAATTAATCGATCTTCGTTTGCAGCATGTTGTTTCTTAAATGATGCAACGATTGTTGAATGATTTTGAAATTTTTAATATATTTCCTGAAAATATTCAATGGGCTTGTTCTTATCATTTGGATGCTTTGTAGAAAGATGTTCTTGCAATCGACTTGGCTTCATTGCCTCATTGGATAATGTTTTATCACACAATAAATACATTGGATGTTGTTTATTTCCAACAGATTCTATGAAACCCATCTTCAGATACTCTGGCAAATAGCCACGAGCGTATTTCTTTTTTTGAGACATGGGCTCACAATATTCACAATATTTTGTTTGAAGCTGTAGGTACGTGCTCACTCTCACAAATCTAACTGCGTACTGACCAGTGCGACTGCAAATAAAAGAGCCTGCGCCGTGTATCATCTGAGCATGCCTCTCGCGCATTGTGGATTGGGTTTGGGGGTGGTGCCGGCTACCAGCTCTGCTTGTCTGTTACAGCTGGGTGGTGTGGGGGGGGAGATGCATGAGCTATTCTGGGACGAGGCTCTTTTGTTTCTGGTTGCACTATAGTGCCATTTAGTTCCACTTACGTAACGTGAACTAAACTTATGCCCGGGTGATACAAATAGTATATTTTCAGAAATTTAAATTGTCACGGGGGATTTTATGAAAACCTAATGAAAATGTTTTTAAATAATTCTATGAAAATTTTTTAAAAAGTCAATTAAATTTAAAAAAAAGGAAAGTGCTTCAGTATCGGACAAAACCCCTACCGCCCACCATGAAAGCTGGAACCCTCACTAGTGGGCAGTAGGGACCAGGTTGACTACCACTGCTCTTGAGCCTAGCTATGGATGTGATCTCCTCCTAGTGGGATTTAAGAACATTTTAATAAGAGCAGAGTCACATTTCCTGCACCACATGCAATTCTGGTGCTTGCTTTTCTGTTTTTCAGGCAGATAAAGGCTCTTCTATTTGCCTAAGGTTTGTTCATCTGATATCTTAAAGACAGTCTTCTTAGTGAGATAGAAAGTACCATCATGAGTCACATTGGCTGTTATGGGCCATTGCCCTGTGTTACCGAAAAGCATTACAAAATAAATTTAAACCAAGTTATCGGAGAAACTCACAGTCCATCACATTTCAAATAACATTCAATCAATTGTGTATAAATGTTTGAAATAGTATAAAGATCTTTGTAGCATCATGCCTAACTTTTTTTAAAGAGAATATAATGATAATTTTCAATAACTATCCAAAATAACTGAAATCTGCAACAGGAGTAGACTCTCAGGTTGTGAAGTTTAGGTGCAAGGGTACAGAAATAAGTCACTTTCTCATTTGATTCATCTACTTTTTCTTCTTTACACCAAGTTGGAGAACTTAATCTGCCCAAGGGATGAATTTTCTGCACATTGCAATAGAACTATGTCAGGGGTGGAGTTTTGGAATGGTGAAGCACCATCCTCACCACTTCCATTGTCATCCTTTTGCTCAAATGGAAAGTTAGAATCATCCCTTCATTTGCAGGCTGGGAACACTCCATCATGCATAAGTAGTCCATGCTTTGCACAGTATTAGATGTAAAAGAACAATGCATTTCTGTGGAATATAGGTAGTCCTTGACTTATGATCACAACTGAGCCCCCATTTTTGTTGCTAAGTGAGAGAATTGTTAAGTGGTTTCCCCCATTTTAAGTCTTTTCTTGCCCCAGTTGTTAAGTGAATCACTGCAGTAGTTAACTTAGTAATATGTTTGTTAAGTGAATCTGGCTTCCCTATTGAGTTTGCTTGTCAGAAGGTCATGAAAGGTCATAATACCGTCATAAATATGAATCAGTTGCCAAGCATCCAATGCTTGCATCCAAGTATCAGTAGCTAAGCATCCAATGCTTGCAACTGAGATGCTGCAATAGTCATAAATGTGAAAAACAGTCATGAATTACTTTTTTCAGTGTTGTAACTTTGAATGGTCACTAAATTAACTGCTGTAAGTCAAGGACTACCTGTAATAATAGTAATAATAATAATAATAATAATAATAATAATAATAATGATGATGATGATGATGATGATGATGATGATGATGATGATGATGATGGGCTGAGCTTCATTTTGCAAGTTAGAGAACTATTTGTATTAATGCTTTTATTATAAATGAATTGTTTGAGAAACAGATTCCATTCATTTGCATTCTAAGTACAGATAGTCCTTGATGTATGACCACAATTGAGCCCAAAATTTCTGTTGCTAAGTGAGACATTTGTTAAGTGAATTTTGCCCCATTTTATGACCTTTCTTGCCCTAGTTGTTAAGTGAATCAGTTCAGTTGTTAATTTAGTTACACGGTTGTAAAGTGAATCTGGTTTCCCCATTCACTTTGTTTGTCAGAAGGAGATCACATGACCTCAGGACACTGCAACCGTCAATACATATAAGTCAGTTGCCAAATGTTTGAAGTTTTTTTTTTAAAAAATAATTTTTTATTAAATATATTTCAACTTTTACACCATGTTTCCATTCTTTACAGCGTTCCACTACCAGTATTACTCATATTTACGTACTTTCCAATTTTCATAGATTGATATTCTATATATTCTATATTTACTTAATTATATCAATTTACTTCAGGGGTGAAATGCTCCTGGTTCCAACCGGATTGCCAATCCGATAGCGAGGGCGGCTGGCGGTTTGGAGAACTGGTAGCAAAAATCCCTGGCCCCCCCATGCCCAGCTGAGCCGCACGATCATCAGAGGTTTTTTTTTATTTTTAAAAGCATTTTTTCTACAACGTTTTTGGCCGAAAAAATGCTTTTAAAAGTAAAAAAAAAGCCTCTGATGATCGCGTGGCTCAGCTGGGATCGTCAGAGGCTTTTAAAAGCATTTTTTTCTACAACCTCTTCTATAGAAAAAATGCTTTTAAAAGCCTCTGACGATCCCAGCTGAGTTGCCTGATCATCAGAGGCTTTTAAAAGCATTTTAAAAAATGTTTTAAAAAGAAAAAAAGCCTCTGATGATGAGGCAACTCAGCTGGGATCGTCAGAGGCTTTTAAAAGAAAAAAAAGCCTCTGATGATGAGGCAACTCAGCTGGGATCGTCAGAGGCTTTTAAAAGCATTTTTTTACAACCTCTTCGGCTGAAGAGATTGTAGAAAAAATACTTTTAAAAGCCTCTGACGATCCCAGTTGAGTTGCCTGATCGTCAGAGGCTTTTAAAAGCATTTTTTTTACAACCTCTTCGGCTGAAGAGGTTGTAGAAAAAAATGGCTTTAAAAGAAAAAAAAAGTTGGCCACACCCAATTTTCTGTTCCGTAGTTTCTTCTAGCCAATTCTTTATTTTGACCCAGTACTTCCTAGCTTTTGGGCAAGTCCACCACATATGGAAGAATGATCCTTGTTTGCAGTTATATCTCCAACATTCCGCCGATCTATTTGGAAACATTTTGGCCAATCTTGCCAGAGGTAAATGCCAACGATAGAACATTTTGTATAGGTTTTCTTTGTAGGAAGCTGACTGTTAATTTTCCCATAATTTTTCCCAGTGTTCTAGTTCAATATTATAACCAAAATTTTTAGCCCAAAGTATTTTCATAACTGTTTTCCTCCTCCATTTTAAATCTTAAAAAATAATTATATATTTTAGATATCATTTTTTCCTATGTCCCCTGTAATATTTTATCCAATTCTTGTTCTTTGTAGAAGCCGTATTGTTCTCAGTCACGGAGGAAACGCCGGTCACTAAAGGGTTACAACCAAGCCAGTAGCTCTAGGACCGAGTCCACCAACAAAAGAAGCCCCGCCTCTTCCTGTATCCAGTTTTTAGACTCGGTCCGGTAGAGGACAGTCGTGTCTGTTAGTTCTCTCTCTCATTAACTCTTTGTGGGGGAGTTATTTGGCCATTGCTGGCTTATTTCTACTTAGTTTGCTCCTTTCTGCTCAAATTGCTGGAGTTTTCTTCAAAAGTGGCTAAACTTTATTGGAATCAGCTGGGGAGTGCTAGAAACGCTCCAGTGGCCCTGAGCAGCCCTGCAGCAACGCCCACGTGCGTTTTGCATCGCCCTATCTTTTGCAGCACTTTCAAAGGATTTTGGAGGCTTTTGGAGAGGTTTCCCTGCCTCCTGTTGCTGTTGGAGGATTCTGGCTGCTAACTTCTGGCGCGAAGGCTTTTCCACGCCCAATTTTGCCACGCTGTTAAGCCCTTTGGCTAGTGGCTATTTCCTGCCTCCTGAGTAATCTTCCTGGCTCCTGGATTCTACTCTGCTTCTCTCCTGGCGCAGTGAGTTACCTGAACCTCCAATTATTCCCTGTGGGTGCATTTAAGGGTGATTTCTATCCTTTGCATTTATTCTGAGCTGCAAAAGTAAATTTCTGCTTTATCATGGCTGATGCTAGGAGCAATAAATCCCAAAGCAAAGGAAAAAGGGGCCATTCTTCTGATCCTAAAGAAAGTTCCTCAGGGGATTCTGTTCCTCCCAAGGCAGCCAGAGTTTCTACTAGATCCACTCACTCCAAGAGTGCTAATATTGCTACATCATCAAGAGAAGAGACCAGGAGGCATAAGGCCATGGAAAAGGCCTTTCAAAAAGCTGCTTCAGAGGCCTCTAGAGTTTCATCTCCTTCTGTGGGGCCTTCTAAATCTCCTGCCTTCCCTACTTCCAATGTGGCTGTTCCTTCTTCCCAAATTCAAATTGAACATGATTTTTCTCCTGATCAGTCTACTCTGGGTGAGAATGTAGCTGCTGATGCTTCTTCAGTTTTTCCTGCTGCTAGGCCTCTATCTCCAATTGTTTCTATTCAGGCCCCCCCAAGGCAAGAATTTCCTGAGGCTCAAGCCCAAACCTGCATTCAGGGGTCTGAGGCTCCTGTAAATTTAACTCCTGCCCTAGCTGAACTTGTTTCTGTTTCAATTAGGCAGGGTATTGCTGAAGGCCTTCAGCAAAGGGCCTCTTCTGAGGCCTCCAGTTATGTGAGTCAGCAGAGTCGTTCTGTGAGGGCCCAGATGGTTGCTGATCCTGTGCAATGTGAAGAAAGGGCGGATTCCCCGGAAAATGCAAGTCAAGGTTCCCTGTCTGAGGGGGAAATTGCCCCTGATCAAGATCTCTCGGAGGATGAAGGCCTTGAACCAGACCAGCCTTCCTTCATTGGTCTCTTCAAGCCTCAATTATTCAGATCCCTTCTATTTAAAGCTCAAAATGTTACTGGCCTGGGAATTTCTTCTACTCCTTCCTCTCAAGGGGCTTCTACACCATCTTCTCAGCATCCCTCTTCATCATTATTATTTCAGGAACCTTCCATTCGTGCAGAGGTCGTTCCAGCTCCCAAGCTGTTTTCTGATGTCGTTCAAAGACAGTGGTCTTCTCCTAGTTCTGGCCCGGTTCCCAATGGTCTAGATAAAAGATTTTATAATATGGCATCTGATTTTGCTAATATTCTTCAAGTTCCTTCTGTAGATGCTCCCATCGTCGCCCTCTCTTCTGCATCTCCTCTTACTGGTCCGTCAGAGGAATTCCTGCGCCCTGAAGATAAGAAGTTGGAACGCTCCTTGGTCAAGGACCACCAGGCCTCTGCTTGGTCAATTCAGGCCTCCTCGGCAGCTTCCTTTTTTAACAGGGCCTCCATCCTTTGGCTTCGCCAATTACAGGAAAGGCTGCCTCCTTCTGATATGCGATCTCACCAGGACATCAACAAGATCCTAGCTGCTGTTGAGTTCTCTGCTGATGCTACTCTGAATGCGGCAAGGTTTTCAGCTAAGGCTATCGGGGCTTCAGTCACTTCTCGTAGGCTCCTGTGGCTTCGTCAGTGGCAGGCAGATGTTCGGAACAAGTGGAGACTGGCTTCAGCTCCTTTCTCGGGGAACTATCTCTTCGGCCCAGCCTTGGACCCACTCCTCATCGAGACGAAGGATCATCGCAAGATTCTGCCCGCCTTATCGAGAAGATCTGATCCTCGTCAGCAGGGTTCCTTTCGAAGCCATTCCTTTCGCTCCGACTTCTCTTCCTTCCAGTCCAGGCCTCAGCGGTACCCTCAGCCCAGGGGCGGACAACAGCAGGATTTCCAGGTCAGGCAGGGGTCCCGTTTCCCTCCCCGCAGACCCTTCAGGGGGGGTAGGGGGCGTCCCTTTCGCAGGTCCCGTTAGTTCTCCTTTTCCTATCTCTGACTCCTTAATTGGAGGTAGGTTAGCATTTTTTGCTGACCAATGGGATTGTTCAGTTTCAGACCCCTGGATTAGACGTACTATTAGGTTTGGGTTGACCCTTGAGTTCTCTTCTGTTCCCCCTGACTTGTTTGTCAGGTGCCCTGTCTCTCATGTCAGGTCCAAGAGGGTTCTGCTAGATGAGGCTATTCAACACCTTTTGGAGATTAGGGCTGTTCAATGTGTTCCCCTAGGGGAAGTTGGCCAGGGATTCTATTCCCGTTTGTTTCTAGTTCCCAAGGCTTCAGGAGGCTGGAGGGCCATATTGGATCTTAAATCCTTGAACCGATATATAGTCTATCGTCGGTTCAAGATGGAATCCCTCCAGACCATTCTCCTTTCGATCCGTCCAGGTGATTTTTTGTCTTCCATCGATTTGACGGAGGCTTATCTCCATGTGCCCATTTTTCCGGACCATCGGAAATACCTCCGTTTTTGTTATCGGGGTAGGCATTATCAGTATAGAGCCCTTCCCTTTGGCCTTTCCTCAGCTCCTAGGGTCTTTACAAAGATCATGGCTGCCTTATCGGGCCATATGAGATCTTTTCCTGTTAGAGTTTTGTTTTATCTAGATGATATTCTTATTTTGTCTAGTTCTGAGGTTAGGGGTAATGAGGATATTCAGGTCACCCTTCAGACCCTGCATTCCCATGGTTTTTTGGTTAATCGTTCTAAAAGCAATCTAGTTCCCTCCACGTGCATTCAGCATTTAGGGGCTGTTATTGATTCTGTCAGGTTGCAGGTTTCCCTTTCTCAGAATCGTCAGGACAGCGTTGTTGAGCTGGTAGGTCAGGTTAAGGCCTCTCGCTCTTTTTCCCTCCTGGGGCTTTCCCGCTTGCTAGGGAAAATGGTTTCTGCCTTCGGGATCACTCCCTGGTCTCGGTTTCATAGCCGGGAACTTCAGTGGTTTTTACTTCCGTTTCAACGGTCTCGCAGGAGCACGTCAGAGGCCAGAGTCCCCTTGACTCCTCAAGTTCTCCGGTCCTTGGCATGGTGGACCTCTCCGGCTCTTGCTCAGGGATGCCTGTTCAGAGTGCCTCAACGCGTGAGCATCACCACGGACGCGAGCCTCTTCGGATGGGGGGCTCACCTGGGGTCTCAGCTGGCCCAAGGGCAGTGGTCGGTCCAGGAGAGGGGACTTCACATCAACATCTTGGAGCTCAGAGCCATCTTCCGAGCTCTTCGCAAGTTCGCTCCTCTCCTTCGAGGTCTGGATGTCTTGATCAGAACAGACAACGTAGCTGCCAAGGCCCACATCAACCGGCAAGGAGGGACCCGCTCCAAGGCTCTCATGAGGGAGGCATCTCGTCTCTTCAGGTGGGCGGAGAGTCACTTGGCATCCATCCACGCCTCTCACATCTCAGGGTCAGCAAATGTTCAGGCGGACGCTCTCAGTCGATCGGTGGTGGACCAGACGGAGTGGAGCCTCGATCCACTTCTGTTCCAGGACATCGTGCATCACTTCGGCCTTCCAGCAGTGGACCTCTTCGCGTCCGAATCCAACCACCAGCTTCCGAGGTTTTACACGAGATTTCCTGTCCCGGGAGCCGAAGCTGTGGATGCCTTGATCAGCCCGTGGCCTTGTGGTCTTCTTCTCTATGCTTTCCCATCTCTTCCCCTCATCTCCAGGGTCATCAGGAAGCTGTTGCAGGAACAAGCCGAGCTCATCCTTCTGGCTCCCTTCTGGCCCAGACAACCGTGGTTTGCGGATCTGATGGCTCTCTCTGTTGCTCCCCATTGGCAGATCCCGGCCGACAAAATATCTCTGTGGCAGGGCCGTCTAGCTCATCCAGACTCTCAGTGGTTCCGGCTGACCATCTGGAGGTTGAGCGGTTCCTCCTGTCCTCAGCCAGGGTGCCTTCGGAAATAATTTCTATGATCCAGGCCTCCCGTCGAGGATCAACGAACCGTATTTACAATGCCACTTGGATGGCCTTCTCTGCCTGGTGTCGCCGTAAGAAGGTCCTTCCTACTGCTGCTTCCATTCTTGACATCCTGGGCTTCCTTCACGATGGATTCATTTCGGGGCTTTCTCCCAATACCCTCCGGAGGCAAATCTCTGCCATCTCATCTATCCTCACCTGCGGCACCGCTGAGTCGGTGTCCACTCATCCTCTCATCCGTTCATTCCTCAGAGGCGCAACCAATCTACGTCCTCCGGCTGTTCATCGGTTTCCCACCTGGGACCTGAATAAGGTTCTGTTAGCTCTTACTGGTCCTCCTTTTGAACCTCTCCGGGAAGTCTCGCTGAAGTTCTTGTCTTTTAAGGCAGCCTTTCTAGTGGCTATCACCTCGGCTAGAAGGATCTCGGAGTTGGCTGCCCTCTCAGTTCGCCAGGATCTCTGTATTATTCATCCTGATCGAGTAATTTTGAGATTGGATCCAGCTTTTATTCCAAAGATCAATTCAACTTTTCATCGTTCTCAAGAGATCATTCTTCCCAACTTCTGTCCTTTCCCCCGTCATCGCTTGGAGACTGTGTGGCACAAGCTTGATGTTCGTCGGGCTCTCAAGATTTATATCTCCAGGACTTCTTCCTTTCGTCGCTCCGAGGCTCTCTTTGTGTCTTTCCAACCCCAGTCCATGGGGTCAAAGGTTTCTTCTACTACCTTGGGTCGATGGCTCAGGGCTTCCATTTCTTTAGCTTACGAAGCTCAATCGTTGCCAGTGCCTCGTGGTGTTACAGCCCACTCTACCAGGAGCGCGGCTACTTCGGCTGCCTGGTCTACCCAAGCTTCACTCGAGGAGGTCTGCCGAGCCGCTACTTGGACGTCTCCATCTCCATTTATCCGGCATTACCGGTTGGATGTTTATGCATCGGCGGAAGCCTCCTTTGGAAGACGTGTGCTGCAGCGGGTATCTTCCCAGGACCAGGAGAGGCGCCGGCCTTCTCCCTCCCAATAGGTACACGGGCTTTGGTATATCCCTTTAGTGACCGGCGTTTCCTCCGTGACTGAGAATGAGCGTTGGTCTTACCTGATACGCCACTTCTAGTCACTAGGAAACGCCGGTCACCCCCTCCCAATTGGTCCGGCACCTCTCGTGCTGGCTTTTGGCTGTTGACAGAGGGGGGTGGGTCCTGGGGATTTTTTACCTTTCCTTTATTTTTCTACAGACACGACAGTCTACCTTTCGTCCTCGTCTCAAACTGGATACAGGAAGAGGCGGGGCTTCTTTTGTTGGTGGACTCGGTCCTAGAGCTACTGGCTTGGTTGTAACCCTTTAGTGACCGGCGTTTCCTAGTGACTAGAAGTGGTGTATCAGGTAAGACCAACGCTCATTCTAGGTCTTCTTTGTATCTCGTCCGAATTTGTAGATATGGCCACCAATCTATCTCTATTCCTTGGCATTTTAACTCTTGGTTAGACTTTAATCCTCCTGCTCATCCAATATCTCTTTATACCTTACTATCTTATTTAGATCTAATACATTGGGATAAATCATTGTCTCCATAGTTGACAACCAGATTGGAATTTTAATATGTTTTTTCTTGATTTTCTCCCAAATATATAGCAGGGCATCTCTCACTTGGTGTCTCTGGAAATATGAGTGTGATTTGTTTTTCCCTTCCCAGATAAATGCGTGCCAGCCGAGTTGCAGATCATGGCCCTCTATTGTCAGTATTCTTTTGTTTTTTAGATTTATCCAGTCTTTTAGCTATGTCACAGCTGCTGCATGATAATAGAGTTCCCAATCTGGGAGTCCAAAGCCTCCCTTATTTCTACTATCCTGTAGAAGTTTTAATTTTATTCGGGATTTCTTCCCTAGCCAAATAAATTTTAGTATTACTTTGTTTAATTCTTCAAAAAATTTCCTTCCTAATTTTGTTGGTACAGTTTGGAAGAGGAATAAGATTTTAGGTAATATGTTCATTTTGACTGTAGCAATTCTTCCAATTAGTAATAGTTGTAATTTCACCCAGTTATCCAAATCTTTTTGTATTTGTTGTAATAATTTAATATAGTTGTCCTCTTTGATAGATGAGCATTTTGCAGTCAGCCAAATTCCAAGATATTTCACTTTCTTAACTGTCTGAATTCCCAATTTCTCTTCCAATTCCTCTTTCTGACTATGGGTAAGGTTCTTAACTATTATCTTTGTCTTCTCTTTATTTATTTTAAGCCCTGCTACTTTGCCAAATTCTTCTATTTCTTGTATTAATGTTGTTCCTGTCTCTAGTGGGTCTTCTATAATAAAAACCAAATCGACAGCAAAGGCTTGTATTTTATACTCTTCCTTTTTTATTCTCAATCCTTTTATTTCTTGCTTTTGCCTAATATGTGTCAGTAGAACTTCTAATGATGGGATAAATAAAAGGGGAGATAGTGGGCATCCCTGTCTTACCCCTTTGGTTATGTTAAATTTGTCCGTTATTTCCCCCGTTTAATATTATTTTTGCTGTTTGGCTGGAATATAACGCCCTGATCATCCCTATAATTTTTTCTCCAAAGTTCATAATATTTAATTGATTAATGAGGGACTGCCAATTTAAGTTATCAAATTTTTGCGCATCCATAAATATTAGCACTACTTGCTTCTCGGGATGGGCTTCATAGTTTATTGCTTGTGTAATCTTTCTTGGTATCTACTACTGCATTGAAATCTCCTATTAGGCATACATTTTCCTGTTCTGATTTTATTATTTTCTGGTGTAATTTGTGGTAAAATTCCTTCTGATTGGTATTTGGTGCGTAAATTATTGCAAGCAACATTTGTTTTTGACTTGTTATTTCTATCAATAAAATTCTTCCCTCTTCATCAGCATAGATCTGTTTCAATTTCAACCACTCTTGTATATACTGCTATACCCCTCTTCTTTTTCTGTGCCAGGGCCAGATGGAGTTTTCCTAATATGGGAAATTCTAAAATACTACCATGTTGTTTCTTAATGTGGACCTCTTGTAAGCAAATAATGTCCACATTTTATTTTTTAAGTTTTGTTAACATTTGTTTTCTTTTAGCCGGAGAGTTCATTCCATTGATGTTCATTGATAACAGCTTAATTTCTTCTTCCATCTTATTGTTTATGTGTAAGTTTCAGTTCTCTCTTTGTTCTTATCTCTCTTTGCGCTCTTGTCCTTGCACCTTCTCTTTCCTGGCATTCCATTTCCTTCCATTCTCTTACATCTTGGTCTGACTCTTTTTCTTCTAATTGCTGTTCTTCTTGGCTTTTGCTTTCTATATCTTCTCTACTATCTTGTTCTTCATTTGCAGTTAGGTAGTGTTCATAGAATTCTTGCACCTTGTCCAAAGTGTCGATTCTAAATTTCTTTTCTTGCCATGAGACCAGCACACCTTCAGGAATGAGCCATTTAAACATTACCTTATATTTAACCAGTTGTGAGGATAGAGAATGGTAGTTTCTTCTTTGTTCCCTGACCCTTCTTGGGACTTGTTTCAGGGTTAAGATTTCTTTTCCTTTGTAAATCAGTGGCTCATCTCTTGTCCTCCTATAGTCTTCATCACTAGTTGTTTTCCTTGCAAATATCACATGGTCTTCTCTTGGCAATTTATGTTGATGTGCATAATTAATATGGATTCTATAGATCTCATATATGTCATTTTAAGTCTCTTGTTTACTTTTCTGCAGAATGTCGGCTAGCAGTTCTACCATGAGATTTAGTAGGTCTTCTTCCTTGTTTTCTATTACATTTTGGAATCTCAGAAAAAAAGCTGATTTCTCCATTTCCAGGTGGACTATTGCCTCTTCCAGATCTCTATTCGCTACCATCAATTTTTGGTCCATTATTTCTAATTTCTTTTCTGTTTGTTCTGTTCTTGCTTCCACTGTCTTTATTTTCATTTCTGGAAATTGCCTCCTGTATCATTCCTATTCTATCATTCAGTTTACGGATGTCTCCTTTCACCTCCCCCATCTCGCTCTTCATTTCTTCATGATTTTTCATTATAGACACCTGTGTTTTCATTATTATTTCTTGGATCATAATAAGGGTCAACTGCATGTTCTGCTGACTCAATGAAGAGCCTGATTTCTTGCCACCCAACATATTTTCTATTGAGCATTGTCCCGATGGGGAGGCTATCATTGTTGTTGTTGTTTTTTCCTGTTTTCGTAATCATCGTCATACTTGTCGTTTTCAGAATCCTAAAGAAGAATCAACTACTATTTACCTATCAGGTTTCTACTTCTCTTATACCCTGTTTCCTCCCAAAATAAGACATCCCCTGATAATAAGCTCAATTGGGCTTTTGAGCGCATGGCAATAGGCCAAGCGCTTATTTCAGGGTTCAAAAAATATAAGACAGGGTCTTATTTTCAGGGAAACACGGTATATAATTTCCCTAATCTAGACACTCTTCATACATCAGTTGTTATTTGGAATTAGATAATATATAGTATATTATATTGATATACCTACAACAATGACCACGTTATCCGTAATATAATATAATCCCTAATATATTGTAATCTAAGATTAATAATGTAGTCTAGAGATTCTGACTATTGATATAGATAGCAATCTAAATCTAGTTTTCCCTTACAACCATAAAGTTACAAATATTATACAAGTTTTAAGAGTTATGCTTTAGATATATATAAAATTGTAAAGTTAAATGTAAATTTTTAATATTTTATAAATCAATGCACTGCTATACAGTGTATTTGTAGATATTTATAGAGTAATATATAATATTCTCTTTTAAGTTAATTCTTTATAATATACATCAGTGTATATAATGAGTCAGTAATGTCAGTCAATAATGAGCCACGACCAAGGACCAGAAGCCAGACCGCAGCTGCATCATTAGCCACTTTAAACCCCTCCAATCCATACATGAAGCAGACTGACACCCACCATGAAGAGCTCGCACGGCCACAAACACAAAGCCAAACAACAACGCAGCTCACCAGCTCAAATCCCCCTGCAACTCAGACTAAGCTGAGCACAACCAAGCCCCCACCCAAACAGAACACACCCCCAGCCAATCAGAGCACAACCAACCCCCCATCCAATCAGAGCACAGCCAAGCCCCTAACCAATCAGAACACACCTCCACCCAATCACAACACAGCCAAGTTCCCACCCAATCAGCTCACACCCCCACTAGCAGTTAAAAGGAAGAGACAGCTGCGATCTCACATTGCTCCTGGAAGCACGAAGCCGAGAACACCAGCCTGAAGATGACGAATGAGACTTCGTCGAAACGTCGCCAAGACACTTCCAATTCTACGTGGGAGAAGACCCGAATAACCAAAGACCTACATACAAACACCCGCGAAAACCTGAGAAAACATATATGTATATATATATACATATATATATGATTCTCAGTCTAGCTTTTATATAAACACTTATACATATATAGAGATAAGAGTAGATAGCATATATACAAAATAGCTATAAAGTTATATCTGGTTTATATCTGGTGGACCAATGAGGTCCACCAATATTTGGAGATAACTGACAAATTCTTTGTCCATTTCTATTGCTATTGTATCAGCTACTCTTCGTCTCTTTCTAAAATGTCACCCTCCTCCTATTTAGCACAGTCTCTATCACTTCTCCACTTCACCATCTCTATCAAAAACTTCTTATAGGAATTCTCTTTCCAAACCGCAAAGATTCGTCACAATCCCAGTCCAAATGCTTAGTCTATCCTTAAGATTTCCAAGAAATACCAGCTCAGACCTTCAATCACTCCTTCCTCTCGATCTGTCAATATCAGTATCCATCTTCTCAAGCCTCCATTCCCACCACTAAATCGCCACTTTTTTTCCACCTTGGAGACTCACTTATCAGCAAATGTAGTTTGTAGGTCTCAAGATCTCAGAGGGTCAATCAGGATCAATCAGGTATCCGATTTGAGTTCATCAATCTCCACCAATATTTCACGCTGCTTCCCTCTCTTCTCTTCCTACTCCATTCAGACAGGCTGTCACACCTCTGGATCCGCCATAAAGGCTGATCTCTTTCGCGCCGGATTCAAGGGGTTCCTGTAATGGGAGATCACTCTTCTCCCCGTTACCCCTGGAGCTTCCCCTCTATATTGCTGGTCCCTCCAGGATCCAGCTTCGCCCATAAGTGCCTTCAAATGTGAAAAATCGGGCAAAAGAAATGGAGCCCCGTTTCATTCGCACCGCACCCCCACGACATCACCCTGGGACCTCCAAATGTTTGAAGTTTAATCACATGATCTGCAATGATCGTAAGTGTGAAAAATGGGCATAAATCACTGTTTTCAATGCAGTTGTAACTTCGAACACTAAATGAACTGCTGTAAGTCAAAGACTACCTATATAGGAAAC